AAGCTATTTGAATGGGAGAACGAAGAGGCAAAGGAACTCCAACAATTGATAGAAGACAAGAGAATCAAGCAAGGAAGGCCTGACTCGTGGGAATGGGTCCATGACAAGGATGGACAATACTCCACTAAGACAGCATACTCAATACTAACAAAAGATCAGATAGAAACAAATGAGATCTCGACATACAAAAGAATATGGAATCCCAAATTTCCAAGTAAAGTCTCAGCCTTCAACTGGCAACTTTTGCTTGACAGAATCCCAACAAAAGTTAACTTGGTCATTAGAGGGATTATTGGAGAATCAAAAGATGGCAAATGCGTCTTTTGCAAGGAGGAAGATGAAGACTCCAAACACCTATTTCTGAAATGCAAAATAACCAGTTGGGTGTGGCAAGAATGCGCTAAATGGTGGGGAACAGAGATTCGGCTGGAAAGGGATTGCTGGAATTCATTTCAGAGGTTTGGGAAATGGAGCAAAGATCCAAAGGTAAAAGAAGGCTGGGATTGCATTTGGAGTACTGTAATCTGGACAGTGTGGCTTGCTCGAAATCAAATGATTTTCCAAGATAAAAAAGCTGACCCGAGAAAGTTGCTGGAAATCATACAAGTGCGATCCTTCCAATGGTGTACAGCAAAGTTGGACAGGTATGCTTTTACCTTCACAGATTGGCTAATTAACCCAGTAGAATGTCTTAAAAGTCTCCATGCTGGTCGGAAAAAGAGGGTCTGATGAGGAGTTATAAGGCTGTACAATTTTGCTTAGTATATTGAAATGGAGTTGGGTCATGGTGGCTACTTTGAGCAGCTCTTTGACTATAGTCTACTCCTTCGTGGATTGAGTGGGTTAAAGTAGTAGTCAATGCATGCTCAATGTTGTGATTGCCAGTGGAATTCAATATTGGGAAGAATTGATAATTTGTACAGGGAGATGTGAAGATTAAGCAACGGTACTCTGAAGTTCGTCACGAGTCTAGTGTCGACACTTTTAGTAGGGGTCGACACTTTGCTATTTCACTCAGGGTATATTAGACTTTTCTAACAGTATTGTTATGGGTTTGGGGTACCCCTTGTACTCTGCTTATTAATATATAAATAAACATATTATTGCCGTTCAAAAAAAAAATATTAAATAGTAACTTTCATACATTTTATAAGTCTTGATA